AAAAAAAAAAAAAAAAAAAACTTTCTATCGAGTCAATTGCGACTCACAACAATCCTATAGAAAGGACCATGAAAATTGGGATTATTAAAAAATAATTTTAAATCCTGATATGACCCATTGATGTCAAACAAAATTCCAGTGCAACCAAATAATATGGATGATGTTTAATAACCCTTTGGAATTGTACACACTTCAATAAAGTATTTACCATGTCTCTAATATAAATTTAGAACTGAACTAATATTGGGCATACAGTGTGGGCATTATTGCTTTCCACCCTCAGGTAACTTACATTTCAAAGGCAGGCATCATGGTTTTGTAAACAATTACTCTGAATTAACAAAACACAGTAAAGAGGGGCACTTTTAGCTGAAGGAGTAATAATATAGATGAGAAGATAGAGTTTGAAGGAAAAATAAAATAACATTAGTTTTGGATGGGTTAAGTTTAAGACGTCTTTCGGACGTCTAGAGGGAATCCCCGAGTGGCGCAAAAGCTTAGGTGTTCAACCACTAGTCAAAAGGGTGGCAGTTCAAACACAGCCCGAGGCACCTCAGAAGACAGGACTGGTGATTTAGCCTTGGCAACTTTATGGAGCACTTCTACTCTGCCCACCTGGGGTCGCTATGAGTCGGAATCCACTCGATAACAGCTAACAACAACAACAGTACTCTAGGTAGTGAGTTTAGCAATCAGATGGAAATACAACTTGAAACTTGGACACAACTCGAATAGATGCTAGTTCAACCCATGGTTGTGAATAAGATTGCTCTAGGAGAAGATATAAAGCAAAAGGATTTAAAGGTTGGAAGAGATGTTTATGAAAGAGAAGATTTAATCAGAAAGGTAGGATTATAGTCAGACTTAAAAGAGAAGAAAGAAGTGATTAATTGTGTCAGACTTTGAGATCAAATTAAATAAGGATTAAAAATATCATGTTAATTTTGGTGGTTGGTGGCTTCCTCATGACTTTTTTTTTAATGGAACGCTTCATGAATTTGCATACTATCCTTGTGCAGGGGCCATGCTAATCTCTGTATCGTTCCAATTTTAGCATACGTGCTGCCGAATCAAGCACTACTTCCTGATAACTTTTATAGCAGCCTTTTCATCAGATTGGCAACTGCAAGAGGAAAATTGACATTTCTAATGATAAATCTGATATGTGGGTTCAGTAGCCACGTGGACACATAAAATGGGTTTACTCAATTTTTTTTTTACTGGTAAATAGCTCGGGTTTTTTTTTTTTTTTTAATTTATTTAATGCTCTGACATGATTTAAAAGCTTAGGGAATTGGGTATCTTGAAGAGTTAATGCATTTCCCTAAGCACCTGAATGATAAACTCACTGGGGAAAACAAGATACCATATGTCTCTCTGGGAAATTTATAATGCAGGTAATTACTCACATTACATTGTCACATATGAGTTGTTCTCAACAACAAGTCTAGTATGAGGCCTCTCACAATACAGCAGTATCGAAAGAACAAATACTAGGTAAAAAGACAAGTGTGAAAAAAATCAACTTTCCAGTTTGACTCCAAAGCTGACATAACAAAATAAAGAGCAATTTTTTCATGCAGAAATCAAGGAGGAGATTATAAGTGATAAAGTACACATTTTAATTGCAAGTGAAACCACTCATTTTATTTTAGGAACAAAGGTAAAAATTTTAAATCATATTCTTACACCCTCGTTCTTTTTTTTGCAATTTCACAGTTTGGTTTGTCTGAATGTCATGATATTTAAAGTTAATTTTCTAAATTTCCACGAACACAACTGACCAAAAAAAGAAATTTGCTGATCGTATTTTTTTTGTAGACAAAGATTGTTAGTGGGGCTCCTGGGGCCTTTTTTCTGATTTTGAATTCCTGACTAACAGATTGCTGCAGCTCTGACAGTAAAAATAGCAGATGGGATTAATTAACTGGGTGACAACTCTTCAGACCTACCTAAATTAATATTTTTCTTCAAACAATGTATTCTGATTGTCATAAAACTAAGTGACTTTATAGAAATAGATTTTGGTTCCAGTGATTTTCACAATATATTGGTAGTTATTTTTTCCCCTTATAAGAGCTGGTTTAGTCTGTTATTTGCATGTTAATCTTTCTAAACATTTTCGTGAAGGAAGCAGTCATATAGAAAGAAAGTACATCATGTTTGTAATGCTAGAGTTGGTCCTGACCTCAGAGACTCTTTCCTCTGCAGGGGTGAAAGGTGAGGAGATTAATTTATTCACAGAAGTTCTTCTCAAACTCAAACCTCCATGGAGCAATTAATTAACTTTTGAATGAAAACCACAAACCGACACATCAACATGATATTTTCACCAGGGCTGTTTAAACTATATAAATTCTTAGGGCGAAAGACCACTTGTTCAAAAAAGGTAACATATTTCATCAAAACTAATTTACTACACATTGAAATTAGGATCACAATTTCAAAGATCTTAAAATGTATATCTCTGTCTCTATCCATACTATGAAATAGGGATTTTCATTAGGCCCTTCTCTCAGCAGCACAAATTCAAATAATGCCTGCGTGAGACTAAAAAGAATAGTGCAAACTTTTCATTGGTAAGGTGCACACATTTTAATTTGGAAGATTTTAAAGTCAGACTATAAAAAAACTATAGGGAAAGATTGCTTTTTTGTTTTTTTTTTTCATTTTTTTACTTCTTCCAGAATTGTTTTGTGTACTCTATCATTTGGTATTATGAACTTTATTTACATTGAGAGACTCTAAGATAAAAAAGCATCATGAATCTGCTGTTTAACTTATTGCATAAATATTTCTGAGGATAGTACTGTTCTCTATCCCACTCTACTGTAGTGTTTCTTTAAAACCAAATGCTAGGAAAAGCTTTGCTTGCTTGTGAGAAACGACATTTAAGTGAATGATCGGTTTCGCTTTTTGTTTTGATGAACAGGGAGCCCAATATCATATTTGTTGCTTATTTTAAATAACATTTAGGAGGCTGTGGCTTTCTGCATTCTAATTTTCCCTCAGGTTTTGAATTTCTATTGTAATTTAGAGCACTATTTGATAGTTTTTTTTTTTAAATTGCACACACACATTTTCATCTATTTTTTAGTTATGAATCTATGAATCTTTTAATTTACAATAATCCCATTGTTCAGTGACATCACTAGGGTTGGTGT